CATCCTCAGTCTGGATCCTAGAGGGTCAGTCAGTGTGTCTGCAGGTTGTGAAATTACGAGCACTCAAGAAGCTGGTAAACTGGACCCAAAATGATCTGAGTGACCCCCATAGACACACCGACCCCCCCAGACCAGACAGCTGCTCTCTAAGACACCCTTGTCCCCCAGACAATGACTGCGGTGAGAAACTACAGATCCAACTCAGAAAGGAAACCTGCTGAGCTACACACCTCGCCTGGGGTCCTGCAGGAACACTCACACTCCCAAAGGCTGCTCATGACCTGGGCTGCACATGGACTGTCCTACCTGGCTCCGTGGTGGTGCTGAGGCCCCCAGTGTAATCAGAATCCATGGGGAATTGAGTGGCACTGATGTTGTTTCCCTCCAGGGCTCCTGAGGAAACCAGAACCAGAGTCGGTCACAGGGACGGACTCAGGACTCAGCTCGCACACCTCTCTCTCATACGTATTGAAATGTGCTAAAGGCTGTTCATCTAGTATAATGCTCTCTGACGAGAGAGTGTACCACCTCCAAACCATCACAGTGATTGCGTTCAGGTCATCACTAACACTCAGAGTCGTGAAAGTGCTCTGAAGGCAAATCATATCACCTACGGCAAATGTACTTACATTAGTGAATACCTGAATTATATCATTAGTATATACTTTACATATACATATACTTTAGTATATGTACGATATTGCTGGTATATGCATCACTGCATAAGTGTATGATATTCCCAGACATCCCAGAAAAACTATGGAAAATCTACAGTAGACATGCAGCAGCCCAGAATTGCTGGGACACCTTGGCACAGCCTGTCAGAGACACGCCAGAGCTCAGTGCACAAAACAACTGAATCCGAACTATTTAGCCGTGACCATTTCAAGCAAGCGTGACCAATTTCTTCTCTCCGGTTTCTTTATCAATCCCAACTTCAAGGCGAGTGTTCAGGCTACTGTACCGCTGCTGTTGGTAGACACATCGCCATCCTGCAGGTTGAGTGTTGTAGGCTGCTGCTTTGTGGTTACAACATCTGACAGGCTCTTGTTTCCTTCTTGGAATGAAAAAGAAGAAAAGTATTCTTCAGACGGAAAAAATCAGGAAATTTCATCAATTTATTGTCTTACACTTGCTTGTAATCTGACCAATTGCTATTGCTGTACTTCTACTTAAACCAATGAGCAAGTCATTAAATTCATTCATTGTTCAATAAGCTGATTCATGTCTTCAGTAGCACATAGGTATACAGCAGCAGCTGGTCCACAAGAAGGTATTAAAGCCTGTTATTTTACAGCACTGTGTGCTGTGTGTGTGCAGGTCTGTATAGTAGCACTGTGCTTACAGTGAGGTTTTCATGTGAACATGAAAAAGTGAGGAGGAGAGAGAGGAGGGGAGAGGAGGAGATGGGAGGAGAGAGAGTAGGAGAGAGAGGAAGGGTGGTTAGGAGAGGGAGTGGAGAGGAAGTGGAGGTGATAGCTGTGGAGTACCTAGAGAATCCGTTGTGATTGCAGGGATCGTTGTCATGACAGGACTGGCAGGGGTGCAGCCTGGAAAAAAGGGGAGAGCCGGTCAGTAGGTTAGGTCTTGACCTCCTCACCCGCAGCCCATGGGCTCTATCTCATCTAGCGAAGCTGCACCACGAGACGGGCAGCGTGATGCAGTGCAGAAAGACAGGAAGTGGCCAACTGATTTCTTATTACAAGAGCGAGCGGCTTCCCAGCTGTAGCGATGTGGAAACCGATGAGGCTGCCTTAGCTCTGTGTAGACGAGACAGAACGCTGCTGCGCGGAAAACAGGAAGAAGAACAGCTTGCAAAGAAGAAGGTCATTTTTCTGGTCTAGTAGATCGTTCAGTAGAAAAATAGATATAACAATCCACTAGAACAGACCCTTGAGGTTTTCTGGGTGTTCTGTAACACAAAGGCTGTCAGTGGGAGAAATAATCCTGCAGTGCTGTCAGTGAGAGCTGTGTCTCTCCTCCAGTGGAT